TTGTTTTCTTTCTGTTTTTTTTTTGCTTTTGCGCTCTTATATCCTTGTGACGATATATATGTATGTATGCATGTATATATATAACACCAACTCATCTGGACATACATATACATAAATAATGCAGGAGTCCGTGAAACTCCGACGAAGCAGTTTGTCACAGCCCTACGTTTGTTGTCCTCTTCTCCTTCTCTGCCCACAGTACGCCGGGCAGATCTGTTTGACGATATGTATCTGACGATGTATATATCATCAAACAGTACGTGTGTATGTTATGTATAGCCTCGTGATGAGTTGATGAAACTCCGACGAAACAGTCTGTCGCAGCCCGTCGTTTGTTGTCCTCTTCTTTCTCTCGACTATGGTTTACCGGGCAGTTCTGTTCGAGGATATATATGTCATACATATATATCTGTCGGGGTAAAGATGTCCCTCCCTCTTCCTCTCGTGCTCTTTCTCTGCATAAAGGAAACACACACACACACACACACACAGACTCAGTCAAAAAAAAAGAAAAAGAGAGAGAGAGAGAGAGAGAGAGAGAGAGAGAGAGAGAGAGAGAGAGAGAGAGAGAGAGAGAGAGAGTGGCAGACTGCGGCAAACAGCCTGTCGGGAGGGGCACAGTAGCACACAGAGTCGACCATGCATGCAAAATCAAGAATGCGAGCTTTGAACAAACTAACTCGTAGTGAGACACAACCAAAAAGCTCACTATCGTAAGTTCAACCTTCAAAAACATACATTCCGAAAAAAGCATCTGCAATAATCTTCCCACATGCCACCATAACCAGATCTCCCATCAACTCGACAATGCGGCCCTTCTACCGGTTTCATCCGTTCGCGACGGAATCTTCAGGAAGGTGCGTCCGAAGTACGCTTCAGTCGAAAAAGAGGCCAATGCCTTGCCTCCCATACTACATATGCTGTTCGCTGGACTACGGCCGTTTCCGGAGTTCTCCGGAACCGATGGGCTCTGCCTACCCATTCGAAAATTGGCCTAAAATAAAATAAAAAAGAAAAAATAAAACAAAACAAAACAAATTAGCACGGCCAAAAGGGCCCCGCTATTCCAAAACGTACGAATAAGAAACGACAAAAGAGGATAAGTACTTAGTCCCAGTTTGCTCCCTATTCGTTTTGTCCCTCGTCTGTCGGAAGTTACTTCCTGTGGGTCCTCTGGAGCCGCGGCATTAATGTGTCAACCGCCGCATCCAACCGTTTTTTTGGTTCGGGGATCGAACCCCTTGGCTGTTTTATCTTTCGCAGCTAGTATCCCCCGTAATGACAGCAGAGCCTGTTCTCCCGTAACCCTGGCCAATTTGGCCAAGGACCCGAGAGAGAGAGAGCGGAGCAGCCTTTGTCCATCTTTTTTTTTTTTGAACTTCGCCGGAGGGGGTCACTTGAGGGGGTGGTAACAGCAGCCTCCTCAAGTGGGCCCTCAGATGAAGGCTCCGTCTAGTGGTGTGGAGCTGCACCTGCTGGAAAGCGGGTCCACCATGCCAGGTGTTACAATACAAAGCTGAGGTTGTTGTGCTGTAGGCTGGCCTTCGTGCTGCTGAAGGGCCAGAGTTTCCTCTGTTCCGTCTGTCTCTCTCTGTTTCTCTACCCTTTCCTTGTGCCCGCTGGGAAACCGGATCCAGGATCCAGCGTCCCAGAAATTACAGTACAAAGATGAGGTTGTTGTCCTGCAGGCTGGCCTTCCTACGGCTGAAGGGCCAGTGTTCCTGTGTTCCCCAGTGAACCCCCACTGTCTCTCTCTATTTCTACCTCTTCCTTGTGCGCACTGGAAATCGGTTCCAGTGTTCCGGAGGTTACACTACAAAGCTGGGGTTGTTGTCCTGTAAGCTGGCCTTCGTGCTGCTGAAGGACCAGTGTTTCCTGTGTTCCCATGGGTCTCTCTGTGCTTCTACCTCTTCCTTTTGTACAGAGGGGGCCTCGATACACCTGACTTCTACCCCTCTTCCCTCTTTCTTTTTTTTCCTCTTCCCAGTGGTCATAGAAGGCCCATATACAGCTGACTTTGTCCCCTGTTCTGGGCAGACGTTTATGTGCTTCCTCTGGCAATGGGCTAGCTATGTTTCCTCTGCTTCCCCCTTTGCTTTGAGTGTCTACAATGTCTCTAAGTGTATTTTGTCTGGGGCGCATCCCACATTGTTGTTGTCCTTGATCCATCATTTCCTGTTTTCCGTATGCTGCCTCCGGCGTCGTTGTGGTCAACCCATCCTATAGGGAGACTCCTGGGAGAGCGCTTCCTGATGCTCGCTCAGCCTGGCTGGCCAGATGAGATGTCCAGGGCAGGGGGGGAGAAGGCGGTGCTGAGTGTCGGG